AACCAACCATCTAAAATAGTTTTGGAGTGTGCAACTAGTATGTGTCGGCTTGCTCGATAGTCATGGAAAAACAAGCTCTCTTCTTGGCTTCAGAGAGGGCTTCTGCAACGTGGCATTCCGTGATCACAATGGCTCATAGTATCGGTAGAAGAATTATTTTCGTCATTACACGAAAGGCGAGGGTTTTGAATCTTGATTCCTGGGCAAAGATCCAGATGACACGACAGACAGCATCGCCGTCTCTAGCAGCGCCCAAGACCCCTATCACGCATTTTGATCCCTTTTGGTATGTACGCATCCTTCTCAGTGCCGGACATCAGGTGCCAGTGCCTTCGGCGCAGATGAGGCGTGGAATGTTGAGAACTTTCGGTTTGAGCGACGCCCGGTTTGCGGGGACTTCCCTGTTTTTTTTGTTTTTTCAGGTATCACGTCAGGTTGGTGGCTTAAATTGGTGGTTTGGATTCAGATTTGAACCCCAAGTTCTTGTAAATGGGACACCTCCCTTCCACCAAACCGCCAATCCAAACCACCAATCAGAGAGCTGAAAAGGGCGCCTTAGTCAAATGCCAAGCCCTAATACAGTACGCAAGACTACTGACCCACGTTCCATGGAATCTCGCAGGCATGTACAGAGCTCGGCGGCGTCCGGGGGCTGAGACAAACAGCGGTTGAATACGGTTGCCAGGGTTCCGTGTATTGTATGGCTGTGTCTTAAAATCGGGGACCCCACACCGCCCCAAATCCATTTAACCCCCAAGAATTGCGCAGCTGCTGGTTTTTCATGTGTTTCCTGTAAAACTAGTTTAAGGGGACAGCCTCAAAAGCAAACACCCAGATTGCCCCTTTCACACACCATCCCGTCAAAAAAAAACAACCCACTTTGGATTGGCCCAAATGGTGTTTTGTTTTCTGACTGAAGGGGCAAAATATAAAGACTACATTTTGACACGTCGGTCAAATGATAGTTGTTTCCCTGGTTTCCCGCTGAAATGACTCGGCATATGCAGTTGAAGGAGGCAGAGTTGAAATGAACATCGCTGAGGGGTCTTTCAGGGGACTGCGGAGAGGGCCGCGTCTTGCGTGAACACCTGTCTGAGTCCAGTCTAAAATCTTGGCGACGGTTGTTCTCCTTCATGCTGGTTGATAGGCACTGCCACCAGCACCCGCGATCCCAGAATGAAATTCCCTTACTTGGGGCTTTCTTAGTTCGCGCTCCTGAATCATGGTATACATCTATACCTTTCATCAGGGACAAAACAACATCTGTCAGCTACCGGTGAGGTCGAACGGGAACCCTAAAACGAGGTAACGCCGCTGAAGACATTCTGTGGTGACTGCAGGTTCTCCAGCAGTGCCGCGGAGTCGCCCACGGAGCGGCGCTGTTAGCGGGAAGCAGGGAAGAGCTGCGTACACAATCAGACTTTGGGCCCCTTTGAAGGGAAACCAAAACACCAAAAAGAGGTTGTTAGAATACAGGGGGTAAAGCGTGTTTAATCTCAGTAAGCCAGGTGTGCTTCAGATTTCTCAGATGCTCAGCCGGACCCTTGCAGGGAGGATATGACCCGCCTTACAGACACAACTTGAATGGAATGTGGTTGGCCAACTGGGTTACTGTCCACAAACAGGGTTTGGGGTTATAATCAGACAACCCTTCATTGGGAGGTTGGATTGGGGTTTCAACATTTGAACCCTAAGGTAAATGGGAAACTATACATCGCCACCCAAGCACCAATCCAAGCCACCCGTTAGAGGGAGGCGGATATAAGTGAGGTCGCTCCACGCTTTGGAAAGCCGATGGATTGGAACTTGGGTGAAGGCCACTTGCATGGTTCTAATGTTGACCCCGGATGGAACAACCCTGCTCATTAATGGGGGGGGTTCCCATCCAAAAGTGATACATCCCCGGTAAAACTTGGGACACCCCGCAAAAAGATCAACAGGGGTTTACAGAAATCTGGGGTTAACATGAAAGGGGACGACAAAAAAACCGACAGGGGTTACAACAATTCTGGGGTCAGCATGAAAGGGCACGAGCACCCCTTTCACTCCGGTTATGCCATGGTTTTCTTCCATTTGCAAAACATTTGTCAAAACAAATCCCCTGTTGGTTTTAAAGGGAATCTATCACTACTGGACATATTTTTTGTATTTTTGTTCTGGGGTCTTAACCAAATGGAAGTTTCAGCTTGCCCAAGTCAGACCAAAGAGCCGCGGGTGAGCTCCTCCAGTGCCACGTCCCCAGGAGATGCCGGTGCCCACGCAGCTCCCCTCGCCCACCTCCCACCCGGGGGCGCGGAAACCCGGGTCAAAACCTAGGTCCAGCGAGTCGTGCCCTTTCTCACTGTTTCTTTGTTGGGAGGGTTCAAACCTACTAAAATAGACTACAAAAAAAAGTTGGTGCCTTTATTCTAAGTTAGAAGCTGAAGAGATAAGCCAAATGGGTGGATGGTTCTGGGATTACGACCATTTTAGTACCACATGTTTGATGATCTGGCGGAGGGGATTCTCTTAGTTGGGCTGTTGAAATAGTCCCCCCGACACGAACAGTGCCACCAGTCACCGGGTCCTCTGTAGTGAACAAGTTGGGGGAGTTCAACTTGCTGCTTCCTTTTTTTGCCAGTTCTAAATTTAGTATTGCCAAGACTTACTCTCAGATTCCAGTACTTGCTTGGCTAGTGCCAAGCAATTCCCCGTACCTACTTTAGTATTGCCAAGTCTAAATTAAATGCATTCCCAGCACTTAATTCTAGTCTTGCCAATTCGAAACTTAGTCGCCAAGCCTGACTCTCAGAGGCCCAGTACGTAATTTAGTATTGCCAATTCCAGATTTGGTATTTCCCAGTACTTAATTTAGCATTGGAAGGGTTGGGACCAGTTCAAGAAAGGATTTCCTCATGTTTGCCCGGATTGTTTTGGCCGATTTCTGTTGCTCGTTTTTCCCGGCAAAACACACATTACCAAAGCGAACCTCTTCACAGGCACAGGAATGTGAATTAGGAAACACATTTTGTCATATTGGATTTCAAGCGGCACTGCCATTTTTCGCTTCCTGAGGTCATGAGCTTTTGAACTGTTGGGGGTTGGACCATTGTAGGGGCAAACACAAAGTGTGCGGCTTTGTTTTGCCAGTCCACCCAGGAAGTGGGTTTAAAACCAACCAGCAAGAAGAGAAGGCTCCTTTTTTCCGATGGCCACTGGGGCTTTGGGAGCCAGGGAGAAAGCAGGAAAGCAGGAAAGTAAGACAGCTAGCAAGAGCGACAAAATAAGTAAAGCCCACAGTTCTCACTTTGTGGTTCAGTTTCTTTGTTATTTCAGCAAGACTGACAAACAACATTCTTTTCCGGTCAGTGCATTCAGCAAGAACAGAACAGAAGGGATTCTTCGGAAGATTGGGTGCCTGGAAAGAGGGGTTCTTTTCATGGCCAACATCCTATTCTCTAAGAACTCAAGAAGGTCGTTTTTGAAGTCCAAAACCTTCCATTGCCTGACCCCTTCAATGAATGGGCCCTGCTGATGCGTAGGGTGGGAGGAATCCCCATAGAAGCCCGATGGCTTGCTTCTAAAAAGGTGTCCAACTGGCGATTTTAGAAAAGTGCTGGCGACGGACCTTGTCTTGCTTTGAGCAAACGGACCAGCCTCGCGCAATGTTGGCGCTTCCCAAATTTGCATTTCTTGCACCCGGTTCCCCAGCGGAGTCCATCCCATCTTCTTTCAAGTTGTGTTTCAGAGTCAAATGAACCAACAAGGCAAGGGAGTTCCTTCTTTCCATGGCCACTCCTTCTCAAGGGATTCCACAGGTAGGTAGGTTGTTTACGCAGTGATGTTTTACTGATGTTAGTTGGCCCAACCCTCTTTTTCTTCACTAAGCCCTAAACCAAGCGCCGAAGAGCCGAATTCTTCGAGCAAGCTCGGATTTTCGGGATCATTGAGGCCCAGTAAGCGCCGTATCCCATAGCTTCAATTGCCACTGTGGATGGACGAATCCACTTCGCAGCAGTTCAGAAACCCTGGTGTCTGACGAGTCCCCTGGAAATACCAACAAGCCAGTGTTTCCCATGCTTTCCAAGTGGCGCCGAGTGGATTTTGTCACTGGCGCCATGGCACACGTTGACTCAGCATGTGGCACCGCAGGTGTCGTCTCCGACCTCGCTGGCGGAGGAGATGACCCGGGAGGCCCCAAATCGACAACTTCGACTTCTGGGGGGGGGGGGCAACAACGAATCAAAGGGCACCAAATCACTTTTCAAGCCCCTTTTGAAGTGCTCCAACTGATTGTTCATCAACCTTTGGGGACCCCTTTTCAGGCCACCTGTAGTGTTCTGAATGACGCTTGAGGAAGGACTCAAGAAGTCAGCCTGGGGTTCCAGGAAGACTGATGAGTAACCATGCAAAACATCTGCAGAGATTTGTCACGGAAGCTAAGCGCCTCTTTCCGAATGGACGCTGCGACCCATGGAAGAACCGCGCCGCAGGTGCCGACGGCTCCCACGGCTACCGCCACCTTGGCCCCGGTCACTATCACCATGGGCCCTGAGAGCGCGGTCTACGAGAGCCACGCTGCTAGTTGGGGCCTCGGGCGAACAGGGTGGATGGGGCCACTTTAGCCATTCAGAGTTTATGTCGAGACATCCAGATGACTAGCATATGTAACGTACATATGTATTTGCATGTAAGTGTTGCAGGAGGACCTGAAGCCACACACGTCACAATAGCAAGCTCACCAACCCGGGCTTAAAGCAACCCACAAATTGCCGGTCCTTCGGACAAGAAAGGGACACATGTGCCAAACCATGGTGTGGTTCTGACGGTGTCCTGTCAACTTGACTGCTATTGGCTTGGATCTGTAGACTTTATCTTGTTTTAAGAAATCAAGTTGGGGTTTTCCACTAAACCCCCAAAAAGTCTTCAACTTTTTGCAGGGGGGGTCGTTGCAGCAACCAAGTCAAGGCCTTGGGCTTTTGGGTTGCAGCCCTTTGACGGCCAAAGGCGAATCTGCCGCCATGGAGGCATCTCCTGAGATGCCAGCCGGGGTCTGAGCGGGATGGTGACCCATGCGCTACTAGGTCCCCCCAGCCATTGGTGCCAACTTGTACCGTTTCTTTTTTGGGGGGTTCAAACCTACTAAAATAGACAGAAAAAATGATGCCCTTATTCTTGGGTCCTCTCTACTGGAGGACCTAGTCAAAGAGTGCCATGCGTTCCTTACGGTGGATGCCCTTGATACGTGTTTTGCACGTGAATCAACCATCTCCAACTAAGTGCTGGAACAATTGCGCTAGGTTATAGGGTGTGCCTTTTTCGCTTGCAATATGTTTGGGACTGTTTGGGCATCCGTGCCTCGGTTGCATGCACCTTGCCAGACACAGCTTACAATCGAACCTTTGTCCTTTCGAGATTTCCTTAATTCTCCCGTTAGTTCTCAAGACGCCACATTCACTCACAAACCAAGGGCGAGTTGGTCACATGTCAGTCATTGTAACTAGTATAATTTCGCAACTAAATGCGGATTCATGCATGGTGACTTTTAAATCGCCAGTTCAGCTGCCATCGACAGTTTGGAGCATGCCTTCCATTATGTTGGGGCTTGTCGGACATGTTTGTTGGTGCGGGAACAGCCCGGTAGGGTTGGGAAGTTGTCGACTTTTGGAGACAGAGATTCAGAAATCCTCGTGAGGTTGCCTTCAAACATGCCCAAAGACTTCCGCGTTTCGGTTTGGGTCATCCCCCTCAAAGGGACTTGCCACATCCACCTTCCGCCTGGTGGTTTACAACTCAAAGAGGCATCTCATGTTCGCTCGCCCCGAAAGGCCAAAAAGGCTGGGCCTCACTTGGCAACAGTGGCCTGCACAGGTAACTAGCGGACAAATGGGTGCGGTGACTTTTTTTTAAATAAGCAAGTCTTGCCCTTGTGGCGGATAAAGGGGAATCAAAAGGAACCACCATCGGAGTTCTCCCCTACTTTGACATACCCGAATGATTCAAGACGCTGTTTTTTTTTTCACTTACCCTGCAAGGGTGTCTGGACTTGTGCCTTTTGAGAAGTCCTTTTATTGTGGTAAAGAACAGGCTCAGACTTTCGACCAGAGAGTGATCCAATTCATTCAGGAAGTGGGTGTAGATCTGGCAATCCAACAATTCTGTTCTCACAGCTTGGAAAAAAAACAAGGGGGATACCGAACTGAACCCACCAGGCGGTCCAATCAGGTTCCATGTTAGTGGGTGGAAGGGTACCTTGGCTTGTTGTCTTCCCTTGTCGTTCGTGTGTGTCTGTTTTTTGAGGGACTTGTTTTTTGGGTTGAAAAAAGACATAAAGGAAACCGCTGCTTTTGGGGGCTCCCCTTTTTTGAGACAAACTTTGGTGGCCCACTTTTTCCCAGCATATTTTCAACATGGAGCATAGCACCCAAAAAATGAATCGAGGGCACTGAAAAGAAGCCGGTTCTTTGTATTACCCCAAAAAACCGCGGACAGGGAAACTCCAAACGCGGTTTCTTTGGGGTTTTCTTTGGGGTTTCCTTGATACTTGGCCGTGGGTCAAAATCCAAATCGTACCCTCAGTGAACATCCCAATCCCCACCAAAGTAGACCAAAATGGGTGCTGAATTCACCTACCCCAAAAGGGGATCCCATTGGTTTTGACCCAATTTCTTCACCTCGGATTTTCCTTTCGGCGCGCCCGGGCCACGAAGTGGTCGACAGGTGCCCACGGAGATGCCCTCGGATGAGGAGGACGAGGGACCGGAGGAAGGAGAGACGGTGGAGGCGGGGACCGTTTTGGACCGGCCTGGCCTCGCAAAGGAAGCCGTTTTGGGATCGTTTTTCCTTGTTTAGTGGGAACCAACCAACCAAGGCCCTGGAAATCCACGACTGTTTTTCAAGCGTCCTTTGCACCTCGCCTGTTTTTTGCAGCTAAAGACTGTTTTTTGCGCCTGCAATGAGCCATGGCGTGGTATTTGATGGATTATTCATACTGTTGCCACGTTTAGATTCTACAAAGCCTGTTCCACCCCAACATGTCTTGACACAACAATTTTGGTGTGAACATAGCGGTCCGTGATGTACGCAAAAGTAGCGTGAAATCACCGTGAAAATACCGTGAAATTGGCGTGAAAGCCTGTTTTCCAGCGTGAAAGCACGTTTTCTGCCGTGAATTTTGACACCGGTGAATCTATGTGTTTCAGCCTGTCCTTTGGTAATCCCTCCGCTTGTTTTGTGGGAACGGAGGTCAAGTCTGTGCACACTTTGGTCCTGAGCACGTGCGGCGCCCGAATTGTTCAATGATATCAGCTGAGCTTGGACAAAACTACTCCTGGCAAAAACCGCCTTTCACAGAAAACATGCAAAATAGACCGCCTTTGGAATTGCAGGGAAGGAGTTGGACGGGAAAGTAGATCAACCAGAAAAAAAGGGGTTGCAACCAAAGAGATCAAAGGGCACCTCCCCCGTTTTAGGCCTTTTAAGTGCGCTTCGATTGTTTATGGCGAAAAGTGCGCGTGTGGGTGTGTGTGTGTGTGTGGTGTGGGAAGTGTGTGGGTGTGTGTGTGTGTGGTGTGGGAAGTGTGTGGGTGTGTGTGTGTGTGTGTGTGTGTGTGTGGTGTGAGCGCGTGCCTGCGCGCGTGCGCGTGGGTAAATGCAAGGCTTATCTTCGTTGTGAAGTTTCGGGGCGTTTTTGTTGGTTCTTCAGGTTGTGCGCTTGTTGGTGGGCTGAAGAATTCTGACAGATGGGTTGGGAAGCTAGGGTTCTTTCGGCCTGTGGCTCGAGGCGGGTTTTCGCCAACCCGGGCTATCCGCCCCTTAGGCCTTGTCCCCAGCGAGTGCACAAACCCAAGCTCCTCGCAAACCAGACATATTGGAATGGTGCGACTGTGCCGGCGAGGAAGCACTCCTGCCTCGGCTTTTTCTTAAAGAGATGCACAACCTTTTGAAGACCTAACATTAACATACTAGGGTCAATAGAGTGACATAATCTTCAGATGGAAGCCCCACAAAAAATTGGGGCTCCAGGAAACAACGAGATGTCGGAGTTTCTGAGGCTGAGCACTTGTTTGGTGGGTGGGTTCAAAGAGAATCGGAATTTTGATTGAGATGCACCCACACGGCTTTTGTATGGAGCCAAGCCGACCCGGGGATCCGGAAATCCGTGCCAGGCTCCAACGGCACCTCAGGAGACGGAATTCATTCCGGCGGTGTGGATTTTCGGGTGCTTTCTCCCTCAGTTGGCTCAACATTAAGCCGGAGGTTTTAGTCTTTGATTCCATATACCTTGGTGGCTCCCCGCTATCCCGTTCGGTTTTTGAGGTTTTTAGGGCTTAGTGGGGGTTTCCAGCTATCTCAGAAAAAGTTGAACTCTTAGCAGATCTGAGGACAGCCCAGTTTTGGGCACGTTTTTGTTTGCAGCCAGTTGCCTTCCATTTTCTGAAGCAACTTTCTGCACACCTTTCTGGGTCCGAGCTGGGGATCTTTGGGTCCCTTGTGACCCTAGTAGAAAAGGAAGCCATTTTCGGGCGAATGCTTCGTGGGAAACTCGCTACACAAAAGGGGCATAGGGTAGTGAACAACTGAGGCAAGGGGGTGGGTTCCTAATGATCCCAAGTATTCCCCCAAAAAATAGTGCGCCGTTGTCCCCGTCCAAAAGAAAAGAAGCCACACCTTATAAACCATACGTCCAGTGATAGATTCTCTTTAAAACCAACGGGGGACATTACAACATATTGATTTCAGCCTGAAGATGTCGACGGCCTTTCCTGGGGATGCCCTCCTCCAGGGCTAAGGAGTTAATCTGTTTTTTTTGGTTAATGACACAAGAAGTACTGTAAGGCCAAGTGTTGGGGAAAGATTCTCAAAACAAGCGTCCTTTACAGGCTTGTGGTTGGCGAAAGGGGATTAGCTCATGTGAATCCCGGATGAATCCACCTTTTGCATACCTCTTGGCCTCTTGGGAAGACAAACTCATGGAAAAACGACTGGAGTCCCAGAAGTTCTCAAAGAGAGAGACCCACACATCCGCACACAAGCACAATCACATACAAAAACACACGCGCACACGCACACAAATACAAATACAAATACACATACACAGACACATACACATACACAAACACACAAACACAAAACACACACACACACACACACACACACACACACACACACACACACACACACACACACACACACACACACACACACACACACACACACACACACACACACACACACACA